TGTTATTTAGCATTGGAAGCCTGTATATGTTGATGGCATGTGTGTTTGTTCGTCTAGACATACACATGTATTTTTTTAAATAATGCTGTCTACGCTGAAGTGTCAATATGCAGACAAATTCTTCAACCGGGGCGTTTTACGGGCAAAATGCGATACAGGGTGTCTGGGGTCGCAACAAAAACTGTACCTAAATCATTTTTATTGTCTTTTTGTGGTAACGTAGACTTCATACTACAGCACGTTCATAAATCGTTTATGCAAACACTTCAAAACCTCGTTAGCGAGTTATCTCCCTTTCAAACTTGAACCATGAAAAGAAGTTCTCGACATGTTTATCAAGTATATAAAATTTGATAATTTGCATCCTAAAGCAGATTATCGACAGAAACTTTGGACACAGCAGAAACATAGGACTGAACCTTAACTGTCTGGTTTAGTATGTAATAATTCAATGGTAAACAGGACAAAGAAAAACTCTTGCTGAAGGTCCTTTCTGTATGAAGGTGCCAACTCGCTAGGCATCCGGCATGCCACTTAGCTTGTCCTGGCACCCAGTTTAAGAACTCGCGAGACAAGAGTAGACAGCTGGTTAAGAATGCAACACCATGCCTGCTCATAAGTTCTTGGGGAGAAAGGATACAGAGAAAAAAAACCCAAACATTTCGGCACTGAAATATTGACATCCGGGTACCAGATGAACATTCCCTAGCATCCAGTGTTCTGTCCAGCTGCACTCGGAATACCACCTGCAGGGCTCACTCTTACGCAGTGATGACTTGGCTTACATACTATGCTACTGCTGCTTGGAACTCTGGGTAAGAAAGTGTTACCAGGGCTGGACATCGGTGTGATAAAAGGGTGTTGGCACCCTCCTCCACGCTAAGTAGAGACCAACTTTACAGTCCTGGCAGAACAAAGGTCAGGTAGTGCTAAATGCTAAACTAAATCACTCATCACACAGTTTTTATCCATCACGATTCAAAATAATACGTACAGAAATGGCTGAGAATTTTGGGAAGAAGATAAGTACACAAGATGGTGATTTTGTTGGACATTTCAGAGGCACTACACTACTATATTGACAGACAGTCCTCGTCCTCAAATATGTCCTTTTAGTGAATTTTAAATAGGCGAGTGTAGTCATCATGAATGCATAATATGTGCATTTAGTTATATTTAAAACAGTCGAGTGCAGGCCATATTCCACACGAAGCCGGAATCAGAATTACTCGTGCATTAAAATATTTCTTACACTATTAGTTCCTACTGCTGTTTGTGTAGGATAACGTTAGAGTACAATGTACACCATCTTCTACTCTGGCATACAGACCCTGTAACAAATATATCCAAGAAAGCTCAAACAAGTCTAGAATATGTGGCAAGTCTAGATTACCACAGTTCTGAAAATGAAGGTCTCTGGACTCCTTTTCATTATATTTTATGATTATGATTTATTAACCGTTTTTCTCTGTCAATTATGTTAATTTCAGAGACTAGATATTAGTTTAACCATCTTCATCCGTTGTGTAGAGATGCTTCCGTCCTTCAACGTCAGAGTTGATAAAGTCACGCTTCAAGACTATGGGTGTCATGTCATTCAGGCCAGTTCCACCATAATAAGTCATATTATATGTTACAGGAAACCGATTTATATGATAACGTAAACTTAATACTCCCACAACGACTGTATCAGAGGCTATATGGCTCGAATTACTCACCTAGAATGACTGTCTGGTTCCTAATTGACGCCATCTATTTGCTAAACGTTGTGTGGGACAGGCCTATCTGCACACCGGACATTGATACATATTTTCGTGTGTATATTCTCTGTCTGTCTGGCATCGTTCTCAGCCTGCCAGCCACCCGTGGGGATTCCTTGACAGAATGGTACCTAGCATCTTGGACTTTGTTTCCAAGAGCGGGGTCGGTGGGGTAGCCTAGTGGTTAAAGCGTTCGCTCGTCACGCCGAAGACCCGGGTTCGATTCCCCACATGGGTACAATGTGTGAAGCCCATTTCTGGTGTCCCCCGCCGTGATATTGCTGGAATATTGCTAAAAGCGGCCTAAAACCATACTCACTCACTCCAAGAGCGATTTTTACTACCTTGTTGGAAAATGTGCGCCTGATACTGCCTATGCCCAGCATTGTCCGGCATATTCCCTGGCATTTTATATCTGGGTCCTGGGATAAGGAGGACAGCTTCTTTCCAATAGTCTGTCTCACAGTCCATGAACCCCATTATTTTCCCATCCGACCAGCCCTTTCTGTTAAAGCCCTACATGAAGCAAGTCTAGATCTCCTCAGGTTCTGAATCTCCCTTCCCATTGGGGCTCCTTTTCAGTTTTGACCCGTGAAGGTCCAGGTTAGAATAAATCTTCAGTAACCCATGTTTGTCGTAGGAGGCGACTAACGGGATCGGGTGGTCAGGCTCGCTGACTGGGTTGACACATGTCATCGGTATCCCAATTGCGTAGATTGATGTTTATGCTGTTGTCCCCTGGATTGTCTGGCCGAGACTCGATTATTTACAGACCGCCGACATATAGCTGGAATATTACTGATTGCGGCGTAAAACTATACTCACTCACTCACTCCTTTTCAGTTTAAAGGGTCGTATTTGTTTCTACCACAATTACATATATTCAGAGACTGGGCGTTAGTCTATTTTACAACTGCACTTTGAAATAGCTACAAAGAAAATCATTTGACATTTTACATCAATCATGAGGGAACATATCTTACTTCAACAATATTGTAGTGTCATCACAATAAATGCATTCTAACTCAAATATATCGAAAGACTGGTAAAAGAAATATTGAGCAACTACTAAATCCGATTAAAGTATTACTTTGAGTCGGTACAGTGGGCAAAACAGGAACATATAGGCTGATCAAGATCAGTGGGAATCTTCATCATCTCTGCAGCCCAAGGTGGCCACATCCTGGTCTTTCATCCTTGAAACAGGACACCCGCTGTAACGTACAATGCAAGACAAATTAATGGTTTACGTCCTATATCTTCACAAATTTACGAGCTGCAGGAATCCGAGCAAGGAGACCTAACGTTATTGTACCTCAATGTAATCGACTTCAGCGGACACAGTGGTGTCCATTACATCATCGGCGGCTTCCGCAACGTCGGCTGAAGCTTATGTTTAGTTACGAATCCCGTTCCTTTCTTCTAGGGAGAGATGGGCGGATATGCCCTATTCCGGATGTTGCATGCGTACAAGAAGTCTACAGATTCAGCGGTGGCGGAAGTGACGTCATCACATATGGTAGAAGAACAGATCTTGTTCACGTTCTTGGCAACTGGTGAGCGTTTGTCGTGACGAGATCTTCGGTGATCACGTTGCTCCAGATTTTCTGGAGTAGCCATTTTTCATGACAATTAATGCTCATCCCCAAACAAAACGTATTTCCTCAGAGCTCAGAACGTAAACGTTGCTTGCGAGGTCACCGATCAGGGCTCAGACCATTTGAGCATATGTGGTATGAACTGGGCAGGCGGCAACATGAGTGAGTGAGTATGGTTTTACGCTGCTTTTAGCAATATTGCAGCAATATCACGGCGGGGGACACCAGAAATGGGCTTCACACATTGTACGAATGTGGGGAATCGAACCGGGTCTTCGGCGTTACGTGCCAACGCGTTCACCACTAGGCTACCCCACCGCCCCAGACGTCAACATGAACCAGTGCCACAGAATCTGAACATTCACGGCCATCTCATCAGAAAGAGCTGACTGCCATTACACAAGGCGCCATCTTCAACTTCTTGGCCAAAATGTGTCTCCCGGTCATTCAGGTTAATGGCGGGCATCGCAGTAGTAGACTTGAACACTGTCGTGCTTGAGATGGTGACGTCACCGACACACGCAAAGACTTCTCCGTTTTATGTTTTAATGTTTTATATTCTCTGTTTCATCTTCCGAACACGCAAGTCCAGCGAATCGCCTATAAATCTTGTTGAAGAATCTCTTGAAAAAACAGTATGTGTGTTTCTTTTTCGGGAGAAGTATATGTTAATGAATGGGACAATCGAGGATCAATGGTCGACTTGTAAACTGGATCCAGACTGCAGTCCGCCATGATAGCTGACTACAGTGTTAAAAGTTGGGAAGTAAATAATGATAAATGTAAATTCGTTTCGGTACAGATTCTTGTACCGTTGTCTCGCAAGACATTCACACTCATAAAAGAAGTTGTTATCCATAAATGTGTCATTACAGTACAGCGTTAAACAAACGTGCAACTTCAGTTTGTGATAATTACTAAAAACAAATCCATCGATGCAGATCTGTTTGAATCGTTCAGATATAGAAATCATAAGTTGTAGTTCAATACATATCTTTTGGGATGTAAAAATGTTCTTCGACCCTAATTTTCAAGTCGCAAGAACGTCCATCGTTGTTCATCACACACACTCACGCACGCACGCACGCACGCACACCTGCTTAAAATGCCCAACAAGTTATGAAATACAGCCTTACCAGGCAGGATGGGCACGAGCATAACGGTCTAAGGGAGAAAACCCCATATATATTTTTATTAACAGACTTTTTCATCAGAATCTTTGAGGTTTGTTACAGTTGTTTTTTGCTCAGTGAGCTTACAGTTCCCAATGATCAGTAAAATGTCGCATAACAACAGCAACAACATTTTGGACTTTGAAAAGCACGAGAGAACACACTGAATAAATCGCTCGTAAAATCAAAAAATATATATCAAGTGTTCACGAGTGCATCCAAATTTAGGATGGCTGATATGTCACCATTTCTAACAAAAATGGTGATTAGAAATTAAAATGCTACGTCATTTGTTTTCAGGAAGTTTGTACCATTTTCAAAAAGAATAAAAGTAATGTGTTCTACCACAATCCAATCGTAATCCACCGGGGGATTCTGGTTTTGCATCCGAAAACCGGAAGTTTCTTAATCACGTGATGACGCACTACAAGCTCCTTGTACAGGCATTTTTAGTTCTTTTTCATACTTCAGAAATAGACATGGCTCTGTAAGGAGTTTTTGGTGTGTTTACGTTTCGAATTTGGACAAGCTGATGTTGCTGTCAATTCTTCACAAATGTACGTTATTGGTCGATATTTCTGATTTAATACGTATTTGATATGTTGCAGTTGAAGATGTATATCTCGGGTATTGAATGTGATACTTGCCTCAGTCTCAAACACGATATTTACATATTTTAACACATTTATCGGCGCTGTGATTTTGTAATTGCATTTAGTTTGATCTGACGATTAGGTCAGTATTACACTGGCCTAACACAAGAGAGAAAATAAAAAAAGCGTTTATAGCATAGAAATTGAAATTAGGTTTATTGCTCTGCTACAGGTAATCAAATCAATGCGCTTAGATATTAAACCTGATCTGTGTGACAACATCAATTTGAATGTGTTGAACTTGAAGCACTTCAGACATGCTGCAGCATGTTTTACTTGTACGCCTTATCCAGTCAATGAAGATTATATTTCAATCCTCAGTTCTACGGTTCCGAATGACTTGAGATCTTATCATTAAATGTTATTAATAGCCACACAACATATGTACGCATGCATAGTATCAGAATTCATCTACATGTGGCTGCAAACCCAGGGTTGGGTCTACAGGCCGGGAAGTGGAATGTTTCTTATTTTCCAAATATTGCTAAATTGAAAGGTATATATTTTTTTTTACTTTACCACTGATAAGTTTACTTTACACAGTCAACATTTCTGGATTTCAAATTGCACTGCATGGAAACATTAAACTGAGATTGCCAGCTTTGATACTGAGCTAGGACAATGAGATTAGCCATTTGGCCAACATTTTATCATGGGAGCACAGGCGGCCTACCTTTAGAATACAGCACCACAAACTTTAAAAAATATGTCATAATACCCTTTTACGTAATGTAATGTGATTTTGTTCGAAAAGCACGATCTCCGAAACAATGCCCTATGACGCCTGCATGGCAACACGGGTTGTCTGGCTCAGCGAGTGTGTATAAGCTCCGGGCTCACTGGTGTTTCACCTCTACGAGCTATGTCATTGCATAAGCCCAACGATGTTGAGAGTTTCCAGTAGTTTGTATACCAGCGGATGCTAATATTTTGCTAGCACCAGTTTGAAATATATTTCTTTTTCACTAATCTGCTCATATTTATTTGTATTATGGGCTGCTGAGGTGTAATGTGTTGTGTATTTTGTATTTTGTAACTTTTAAATTTACATATATATTTTTGTCATTCAGTAATTTGCACCATTACATAGAAAAGTGTTTTATTAGTATTTTATTTTTCGAAGCGGTAATAATGCATTACACTAGACACGTCAGTCGTGTTTGTGCCGGTTCTGTCAATGCATTCTATTTATTAGGATTAATTCAAGGGTTAGGGCTTACGGTTTAGGGTTTAGGGTTGGGGCCCCTAATGCAATGTAGTAGGTACATGTCCGTGGTTCGGTCAATGCATTCTATTTATTAGGATTATTTCAAGGGGTTAGGGTTAGGGCTGAGGGTTAGGGTTAGGGACCTAATCCAATATAGTAGGTACATGTCCGGTGTAATACGTGAGTACCATTTGTTGTTTTTCCTTTTTGCATTTTAATACTTTTTTTTCACACAAAATCGGAAACCAAAAACGTCGAAAGTACATTATGAAATGGGTTATTGAAGAAATTTTGGGCTAATGGAAATTGGCCTGGAATTTGCACTGAAGCCTCTTTCACACGCAACATAAATTTTGTAAAGTAATGATTCAAAAGGCTAACTCACCTCGGCCGTCACTACACATGCTCATGTCTCCCTCGCTCCTTAGTGCGATCCACATTATCATTACAGTGTTCCCTACATCACTTTTCTGTCACAAAATCACCGATTTATATAAAAGGCGTCATTCATGCATACACCGTGAAATCTACGCCTGACGCCTGACATCAACAACCCTTTTTCAGTTTGAGGCATATCGGCTCATTCCACGCCACACGCTAATTTGTAGATTACGGAATGGGACGAGTGTGCCAAATGGCATCGGATCCATTCGCAATTGTCCGTGAGAATAAAAATCACATGACACCAAGTCTACCCGCAGCATTCAGAATTGTCCGTGACCTATTCGACTCTTTCCGTTCATTTACATTGACGCCACTGGAATGACTCGATAAATTTGCACATTGTGCAACAGTGTGGACGTAGCTCAGTCGGTTAGCTGTCGAGAGCTAACAATCCGAAGGTCGGCGGGTTCAAGCGTCCGGACGGTTCTCACAAACTGGTTGCTTGTCTTAATGACACGTGACCCACGGCAGAGATCGCCCTCACGAAGTTGTGGTGCTGTATTCTAAAGGTGCTCCCCACAGGCCATGTCACAAATAATTAGTGCTCATATACGAAGTCATCAGTACCTGATTGTTTACCTTTACTGGTATGCACAGTTGCAATTTTGTCCATAGAAATCAAAACTGAATTAATTGGAATAAAGTGATAGCTAGCCTAACCATATGGACCATAAAGTAGTGCTTGATTGGAAGGGGTGCCTGAGGGGTGCCTGAGGCAGTAAAGTGCTATGTAAACTGCTGTTGGTAAACCGCTGTTGATATCAAAATACCTTTCCTGGTTTCAACGTTTTAATGTTATCATACTATTAGACCTGTTAGAATAACCTTCAAATTCAAATAATATGTGACTTTTAACATGTTAAATATGCTTTTATTTCCAGGCTCAAATGAAGTGTAACTTATTTCAGAGTGTGTCCATTTGGCTATGAGAGTGTAAAATGGATTTTTCAGCTGAAAGTGATATTGGTATGTACAATCTATGCTATAATATCATATTGTAAGATTGTTTGAGACAGTTGCCTGTTAATTTGATACAAACATGTTTCTTTTGACAATTAACAATAAAAAAAGTTATGTACACATGATGCCATTTATTATCATGCCATAGTTAGCATGACAGTCTTACGAAATATGTATGAATTAGTGATTCCAACATATCCAGGAAAGCAAAATATTTGTATTTAATTTTGCTGGTATATGATATATTTCTAGATTCTGCAGTAACACCTATAGAGTTATCTCCCCATCACAGCCATGGTCAGCATTTGGAATCTGACAGCTTGTCAGAGTTGTATCTCAGTGATTACAACAGACAGAGTCCCAAATTCCGAAGGAAACCACCACCTCATAGACCAATGAAATCAGGCAGACACAAACATGGCCGAGACAGAGAAGAAAGTGACGAAGGTTTGGAAAAGCATGTCTAAAAAACAAATAAGTTAAATGCTGTAACAAGAGAAAGATATCTAGAACTGTTATCAGCATTGTTACCTGTTGTAAGAATCAGTGGTTTAAGTTGCTGTGTTTTAAGTTGTGCTTGTCATGTTCATTATCAGATTGTTCCAAGATTGCTGATGGAGTGGTGTGTAGCGTAGTGGTTAAAGCATTTGCTCGTCACACCGAAGACCGAGGGGCGATTGCCCACATGGGTAGAGTGTGTGCAGTCCATTTTCTGGTGTCCCCTGCCATGATATTCAACTTTAGAAACACATAAATATTTAGATATGTACATGGTAACATGGTATTTATTTCATTTATAAACAAAAGAAGCCAGGAATGAGCAAAGCGCTCACAGACTGGTGACACTGTTTGTTTTGTTGATGTGCATTGATTCACTTTGACCAAGCACCCAAGAAGCTGAGTATTGTATCTTGAATTGAAAATTTCACATTTTCAAGAGGCAGCCATGACTGATATGCCCCTAGAAATATTGTTCAAGTGGCATCGACTCCAACTCATTGTCTCACTAATAAAGTATACCCTTGTGACACAGATCCACCAGTACTGGACAGGGAGGATCTGGGAAATATTTATCAAGAACTCCAAGCAATCAGTGACAAACTCAAAGTAAGAAACAATACTGTAATTCTATATGGTACTCGTAATGCTGCTTATACTTATGTTTTATACAAAATTGTGGTTATATCATGTTAATAAAGATACCATGTACCTTAGTCTTGCTCATTCTGATAATACTGGTCAACTTCCAGAAGAAACTAAACTGCTATAATTCACATGGTTTTGAAATAGCCTGTACTCAGTGATAAGGGTTATAAGAGGTCTCTGACAGGTTGTTTTGTAAAAACACACTCATCATTTTATTGATCTTTATTACTGGCCTGTGGAACATACTACAGTGTAATATTTTTATTTCAGTATTACACTAGTGTAATACCACTAGATGTATGATGTCATAATGGTTTACAGTTATGACGTCACAATGCTAATACTTCTGTCACAATGGTATCAGACCTTGCTTGACTCACAGAAAGCTAAGGGTCATCACACTGTAGGCAGTTTCTGTCAATTCATGTTGGAGAGTGATAAACAGAATACTAAACTTCTGTGAAATACCATTTTTATTGAACTCGTGAAAGATTTAGTATCAAACTCGCTTTCACTCATTTGATGCCAAATCATTAACTCGTTTAATAAAACTGGTTCTACATGGAAGGTTGTTTAGTTTCCTCTATGTTTTTGTGAATAGGGAACTAATTGCATGTACTCTGATATAACTGAAAAACAGGGAATAAGAGTCACATAGTGAATTTTATGACTGTGTTGAGCTCTCATCACTTGTTTCCTTGATGTCTTGGCCTGATGAAAATATCTAAGCAAATATCTATGCCGGAGATTCTCAAAGGTGATGACTATTCTAAGAAAGTTAATTGTATTCTATTTTTGCCATAACATTGCTTGATTTAACCCTACTGTGTCCTCTGAAACAGTAGCTGAGGTTGTAATCTCTGAATTATATGGGAATCACAAATATGACTGAACATTGTATTAAGTACCAAGCTCTGCCTTATGATTCTGTAAGTAACCTCTCAAAGCACCCCAGTATTAGAACCCAAATTTAAATGTGTTGCTATTTATACAGCACAGAGATAAAGTGACTATAATTAATAGTGGATGTTTGAACTAAGTTTGTCCACTACCTCCACAAGTAAGCATCAGTTGACTTCTTTCTTGTAGCTCAGGGCTATGGTGAATAAAGTAGGACCAAATGATATTCCGATGATAAATAATGGATACAGGTGTGTGAATTGTTACACATGCCCATGACTTTATGTTAGGCGGAGAACCGGATATTACATGACCGAGAGGCCAAGCTGAAGGAGAGAGAGAGGATGATTGTCATCTCCCAGTCCAACATACAGACAATAACAGACCATGAAGTCAAACAGAGGTGCCAGGCTCTACAGCAGGTAACACAGAAATACAAACATTGATTCAATGAAAAAATGCATTTACATATGTATATATATATCTTTTTAATCCCTTTCAAATGTCGGTGGGTAGCCTAATGGTTAAAGCGTCCGAGGACGCGAGTTCAGTTCCCCACATGGGTACAATATGTGGAGCCCTTTTCTGGTGTGATATTGCTGGAATATTGCTAAAAAACGGCATAAAACCATACTCACTCACTCCCTCCCTGTCAAAATATAGACTTTCTCATGAAACAAAAGTTGCTTTTGCTTTACCCTGATCCTGATGTCAGAAAATGATCTGTTATAGTTAGAAAGATGAATATTAAACTTTATGTATATACATGTGTTTATTATGTGTGGAAAGATGAATAGCCTAGTGCTTAAAGCGTTAATGTCCGCCGAAGACCCGGTTCGAATACATGGGTACAATGTTTTATTTCTGGTGTATATGTCTGCCGTGATGTTGCTGGAATATTGCTAAAAGCGGCATAAAACCAAACTCAGTCAGTCAGTATTATGTGTACTTTGTATATGTCTTTATACAACATATATTTCCTTTTCAGCAACATCAAGATGAGGTGGCAAAGTTAGAACAAGCCTTGAAGGAGAGATTCAAAGAGAACAAGAGACTGAAGGAAAACTTTGAGACTTTAAAACAAGCCAATGATGCTCTCAAGAAGGAGGTTAGTGTAGGACTGGGCCATTGTGTGTGGTGGTTGAGTGGATGCAGGCACTAACGATCTGTGTGTCAAGTCACTTATGTCCTAGGCTTGTTGCAGGGCCCAACAGAAATGGCTCTGCTAATTGTGTGTCATATTTAGCAGATCAGTCATCAGGACTGCTTTAAGTGTTCTGTTTTGTACTTTGACAGCTCCTGCTGATTCTTCTATTGATGCTAAGTATTATTCTTCTGTGGCCTTCTTTTAAATGGCTTTGGCAGATTCCTTTGTTACAAGGTCACGTCACAAGACCAACACCTCGTTACACTTTCGCCTCAGACATTTATCTTTTCATGCATACTTTCCAAGCTTTCAAACGATTTTGGTCAAAATTACTCAAAGGTCAAGGTCAGTGTTGAGGTTTTCAGGAAACATAAGTTATGCTTTCTTCAGGTGTGGAACTGTGTATTTACGTGTTTCTTTAACTCATACTAACACGTCAATGTCAAATGCATGTGCTGGAGTTCTACACGGCCAAGCATCATGTGAGAAAATATTGTGACACAAACACATTTTGATTACAAATTGACCGATCATGCATGCTCTGATGATGTACTTCTTTCAGAGTCACGTATAGACAGGGTATATAGATCAGCATTGATTTTGAAGGCTTGTAGATGGGGTCGTCTTATACATAAGGGTCACACTATTCACAGCAATCCAGTATATCGTATAAGGTAACTAATGGGAACAGGCTCACTGACTTTGTTGATGCATATCAGTGATATTATAAGTTGTTCACTGGTCTCGGGGGGGACATGGGCTGATGTACCCTCGATGTTTGTTTATGTAACATAAAGAAACATAGAGGGTACATCAACCCATGGGCCCCGAGGGACCAGTGAACAAACATATTTATCTTACCGAACACCTCAATGGTAATTTTGAACTGTTTGAAGCACGGGTATCGGATCATAGTATGGAGTGCCACACGACAATACGACAAGAAAAACAAATTTAGAGTTATCTCCCTTCCATCGATTTGCATTCGCAAAACATCGGTAATTTCTGTACATCATACGTGATTCAATGTTATCCAAGATAAAGAATTACTACTATGGAGTACCAAATGAGTTCGGCATTCCTAGCGGGGTACATAGAAAATGTTACTCGCTTGTAAGCGGGGTACATTGAAAATAATAGAAGAGCGCTCAGCCAATCAGAAAGCAACATTATGTGTGAGGCAAGATAACAGTCATTGAATTGCTGTTCTGGATGGTCTGGTAGGGTCACAATAATATACGGACCCATGTCATATAGCTGGAATGTTGCACTTTAAGGCATTAAACCACATACAACCAAACAAACCATCCAGATGGTTTCCAGCATTGTACAATGCCACTATTTAACAAGCATGTTTTGATTTTTCAGCTAGAAATAACCCAGACACAGAAATTAAAGCTTGAGAAACAGGTCACAAGCTCCCAGGCTCGGCTTACAAACTTACAGGTTGTTAACTTTAAAACAAACATTTGTGAATTTGTTTCATATGAATACTTGTTATATAATGAACAGGCCAATATCTTAGGTGTCACTGTTATGTCATCCTCGATAATCTCCAGGGTATATGTTACGATCACTCTCCACTATACCCTGGATGCATCCACGGCTTGGGGCGATGATTTTATTACCTCCCTTTGCTGACATTTTATCCAGTCAGGTGCCTACGCTGGGAAGTTAAGCGTACCAATAACTACTCACTTTCGTGTCTTAAATTATCTAACCGTTTAAACTTGGCAACACAATTAATGCAGAGGTACTCTGAAAGAAGTAGAAGGAGTTCTTTCATATATTCTTTTTAAAGTTTCAGATCTGTGAATTTGTCTTTATTATTTCCCCCAAAATCTGAGTGGCACTGCGAACAAACCTTTGCAACTGCGACCACAATCTTTGTTGACACTGGCAAGTTCGGTTGTAATGGCGGCTTAGCTGATTGGCTACTGTGAGAATGCGGAGCCAGCCAAGGGAGGTAATAAAATCATCGCCCCAAGCCGTGGATGCATCCAGGGTATAGTGGAGAGTGATAGTAACTTATACCCTGGAGATTATCGAGGATGCTGTTATGTAGAAATATCAAGGACTTGACATGTTTGACTTGTGGATTTCAACGTGTGGGCTTTCCTGGTTAAACCTGATTCTCATGATCCCTGCTAGTCAGGGGTGACTAATGTACTGGGTTATCGGTTCGTTGATTTGGTTGATGGCTTGTCAACGTATTCTGCTGCTTAATCATAATATCAGTCGTTGGATTGATTGTCTGTTATTATGTTGTAGACATCATATAGCTGGAATAGTGCTGAGTGTGCTATAAATGTGTTAAGCAAGTTATGCAGAAAACGCACTCACATGACACATGCACATGCGTAAATCTTAAAAGTATGTTACAGCGGAAGATTTGTAGTGCCTGCAGAAAGTGTATACCAGAATATAGTATATATTTTTTATGATATGAAAAGTGAGTGGTGTATTTTGGTTTCACTGTAAAATTGACTGATGCAGTGATACTGATGAGGTAATCAATGACTCAGAGTGTACCAACTTGAAGTGTACCATCATGTCCCTGTGTTAACAGAGGAAGCTAGAGTTTGACCAGCGACAGAGAGAGGGAGATGTGCTCGGGTCGTCAACAGAAGTGTCTGGCAAACAGAGCAAGGCCAAACAGGAGCCTGAAGACAGACCAAAGCAACACAAAGTATCCAAGGTTTGTCCATCACTGTATACATATTAAAAGGAATGTTCAACTCAGGTGGGGGGTGGTGAACATCATTGGTTAAATTGGGAAAATGTGTCAACCAAGTCAACCCGAGCCTGGTCGCTCTGATCTCTAACTTCGCCTCTTACGACAATTATGGGTTGCTGGTGACTAATTCTAATCCAGATCTCCCACGGATGGTGATCGGATGATCTGGAATATTCCAAGAAAAGCCTAATGGTTAAAGCTGCTATTCGCCGCGCCGAAGAAATCCCCACATGGGTCATGTGTGAAGCCCATTTCTGGTGTCCCCTGCCGTGATGTTGCTGGAATATTGCTAAAAGCGGCGTAAAACTAAACTCAGTCAGTCAGTCAGTCAGTCAACTCAGGTGGCCTGGTCGTGTTAATGGATATGCTTACCTGTGAATATCCAGGTTAGAATTCATCTTCAGCAACCAATGTTTGTCATAAGAGGCATCAAACAGGATCGGGTGGTCAGGCTTGGTGAATTGGTTGACACATGTCATCATTTCCAATTTACATAGATTGATGCTCATGCTCTTGATCACTGGATTGTCTGGTCCAGACACGCTTATTTACTGGCCGCCACCATATAGCTGGAATATTGCTGAGTGCAGTGTTAAACAACAAACCAACTAAGCTACTTGCTGCAAATATTCAAGAATCCCACTTGAGGCCATGTTTTCAGCACTTATTCTAGTTTGCCATGTTATACAGCTTTAGTGAAGTGTCATAGATTGGAAATTTAATTATATCATCAAATACTAAATGATAGCATTTATTTATTCTGTATGTGAATATGTGAAAATAACAAATGTCATTCTGCAATTAGTCGATTTAGTGCTAATAAGTAACTATGCTGATCCAATAAATATTTGATATGTTTAGTATCCATTCATCAGTTTGTTTCAGTACAGAATCATCATTAAAAATTAAAAATTCATTGATACCATGGCATGCAATGATATTACGACAGCATCATCAATATTACTAGGTCTCCAACCCACAAGGTATTCATAGTGCTACGATAGGTTGTAATATTACAAATCCTTTGTGGATCAGGACCCTGGAACTCAGTTACTCATCCTGATACTGGTAAGCATTCAAGGTAGATTATCGTTTGGTATTCCAGGCAGGCACGCCGGCGTATGACATACTGTCTGCTCTGTTGGACTGGGTGTGTGATGCCCACCTCCGTCATGCCGTCACAGACCAGCCAACACAGCCTATAGAGAGGTTCTCTGCTCCAGACTATGTACAGGACAAAATACTCAGGGTAATATTGGACATTGTTAGTTACAATAGTAAGCCATTAATAAAATAAGGGCATTATGACAGTCTTAGCACATTGATCTTTTTGAGGAGCAGGGATCTCAATCCTCAAGGATTGATCATGTGTAACCAGTATTTGTCAGAAGAGATGACTGAACTTGACTGCATGTCTGCGTCTGATTGTGTAATTGTGCCCCATTGTCATGATTGTTGCTAATGCTTCTAGTAAATGGGGGCGTGGGAGCCTAGTGGTTAAATTGCCTCACATTCTAGTCCCCACATGGGCACAATGTGTGAAGCCCATTTCTGGTGTCCTCCACCGTGATGTTGCTGGAATATTGCTAAAAGCGCATAAAACCAAACTCAGTCAGTCAGTCTAGTAAATGGTTTGCCTAGTCCAAGCTTCAAAATTATACATTGCCATGATATAGCAGCACTGTCGCTGATTGCAGCCTTCAAGAATCTCCTCTTGTGGACACTAGTGTCCTGGTAATGGCATTAATTCAGGACCTATGGGTGTTGAAGGATGGAATAATGTATGGTACTTTGAGCATTAGGAATATAAATGGTCTGTAATTGTCATTAATACATTTTGTATTTCTCTGTTGTGAGTAGGGAGTCAGTTGTGAGGGCTGTAGTTTCTTCCCAAACAGGTGTTACCCAGCCTTGTGGAGATCCTGAAGGAGGTGCCCCTGACCAGCTCCAAGTTCTGTCTTCCATGTCTGCAGTTCATCTACTGGTCATTAATGAATGTTGAACAAGGCCATGGACAACAGGTGTGTATTGCAGGAGAACCTTAGAGGCAGAACCAGCTTGTGGAGCAGTGTCTTTAAGTCTTGGAATAACACAAATAACCCCATGGTATCATGACCAGAATTCAGGTATAATTCTTGAGCTTATTCAGTTCCAAAATGGAAGCTTTGGGTACTGGTTCAGAATTATAGTCTTCAATTGCAACTAGTGATGACTACCATTATTTTTACCAAAATAAATGCTTTTCTGCACAGAAAACTAGTCTATCGTCAACCTTGCGTAGACTTGGTGAGGAAGTGTACAGAGCTCGAGCTCCTCGGAATTCAGAGTCAGAGAAATTACCAAGTTCAGTCCTAGACAGAGGAGATAAACAGAAAGAGGGTTTGTTCTTCCGGAGTTCCAACCTTCACATCCGTCTCCTGTCATCTGTCATCATCCTGAAGACACTCACACAAGGTAAACTGGAAACGCAAATGTTAACCCAGAAATCATTTTCTAAATTTAGAAATAAGTAGATGGTCACTGAATAATCAACAAAATATGTTCAGACAGACACTTTTAGGCTTACAATCAAAACGGGCAACACAGTGGAACAGATATGTGGCATTTTCCTTATCCTGACTCATGCTCTTTTGCTTGTCTTCTTCTTTCTTGCTAACATAGTGGAACACTTGTATCTCCCTAATTGAAGCCCTTCAATGTAAAATCACTAATTAGTACTCAGCACGAAGTTACCTCCCTTCCACAAGCTGGAACGAGGGCCACCTCCACCCATGTGCCCTCACTCTTCCTTCTTCGCCCAGTGAGCTGGACGAGAGCACCTGTGTCTCCTCGACACACTATATCCTTTGATTATATTTAGTTAGTTACCTCGTGATAGACATCTATAGAGGTTTAGCTAGTATCCTTCAACAATTATATATTGATATTTAGTCGTTTCTACTGTTTATTCACGGACGCCGTGGTTTGTTTCAGTGGATTACGCTTGATAAAAATTCTGTTCTGTTGCAGATTACGCTTTTTATTCTGCTGCTGATCCGCGATTTAATATGCCCTAGTTGTACTGCCATGTTCATTTTATTCACGCTGCAGTTGGCGGTACTAATTTATCCATTTCTGCCTTTAATAAATAATTACTTTGGCGCTTGAGACGCCGCAGCAGATAGGTCGTGATGCAGAGTCTAGCCATGACTGATACACCTGAACCCTCGCCAGTCTACTGCTGTTGGTCGACCCGCCCCGCCTGGTGTTCCGCTAGAGTGGTGGAGAGGCGTGGGACGAGTCCCGCTTCCAAGAAGCGCCCTGCTTCCCCAGACATCCCATCGCCGCAGTCAAGACTAGAGTTTTTCTACTGCATCTCAACGCCAATTCTGAGGGGAAATCAACGGTCTACTTGAACTTTTCAGCCGAGATTGTTCCCTGCCGCAGATTTAGCCTGTATGATGATCAGCCGATCATCATACCTGATGTACATCAAAAGAATGACCGATGTCGGCAACAGTGATGTCAGCGCAGATCAACATGCAGCCTGATGTACCAACGCTGATATTCTATGATCTTCCTGAGGGTCCTGGCCGCTACTAACACTCAACGCAGACTTCGCGACCCCAGGGCAGCGCCGAATTCTGAGGGGAAATCAACGAAGTCTACTAGGACTTTTCAACCGAGATTGTTCCAGCCGCTGAACTGGGCCTCTACGATGATCAGCTGATCATCATCCCCGACGCATTTCACAAGAAGCGCACCGGAGACAGCTACAGTGACATCAGCAGAGATCGCCATGCAGCCTGATGTCTCTACACTGACGCCAGACGACTTCCCTGAGGGTCCCGCCCGCTAACATCGCAGAGAGGGCACCGACTAATTGCCGCAGACCATCCCAGATGAACTGTTGCGGCAAATCATGATCATGATGGAGGGCCACCACAGACTGGGAAGCAGCCAGCCCAAGGCCCGAGCCTTCGCTAAGGTTCCAACGCAGACGACACCCCAGAGGCACCCCCATCAGCGAGCAGCCACGACGAAGCCACCTTTCAAGGAAGTCGCAGACCACCTCCACGTAAGCGACCCAGATGTACAGCCTTCGCGAAGGCCTTCGCTGGGCGGATAGATCATCACCTTCCTCGCTTCATCCCTAGATGCGGACTCAGACCGCCAGACTCACGGAAGCCTTCGCTGGAAGGTCAAATCGCCGCTCCCCAGGACCGACGCAGAGGAAGCTTCACAAGGCCTTCGCGAAGGCCTTCGCCGGCGACACCTGACTACACGAGCTTCGCGGAAGCTATCAACATTCTCCTCACAGGTCTCCTCGAAGGTCAACCCATAGACGAAGTTCACCAACACGATCTCCGCTACTCTAACGGCCGATCTCCTCAGACATCACCACGCCGATCGCCTCACAGGTCACCACACAAGTCTGCATTAATAAGTCTACAGTCAGGTCTCCCCGAAGGCCACCCGACATAGAGATAGAAATACACAGTCCACCATCAGAAGAGCATCAACCTCTCATCAGTGATGCTGGGATAGAAAATGATGGAGGCATCATTTTCTCAGACGCTGAGATACGATATTGGATGGTAAACAACCTAGATCTCTTCACCTTCCAAGAGTGGCAACTCGGCGCAGACATACCTGATAAAGGAAGACGAGGCAGACGCCATCACCTTACCTCCAATCGACTCGATTGCCGTGGTGCCACAGTATGTGGACACAGCCTACCATAAAGCCATAATAGTTCAAACGCCAGATGTTATTGGCATTAATAGATTAGAACGATCAATGAGATTCTTATCACCAGATTTCGTGAACGACTTCTGAAATGATAGGATGATCTACTCGCCTCTACTTTATGCAGAACCAGCAAGAACCACACCCTGTCTGAAGCTAACGCCATATATTGATCGGTTTCTAGACACTTCGCTAAGGAAGTCCCAGGCTACCTCGGCACAAGGAGCTAGAGCCTCACCAGTTACAAAGGACGCCACGGAGGGGTAGCGCCACCGAATCCCCACATATTGCTGAGTCGCGGCAAAACAATACACTCACTCACTCACTCCTGTTGAACACAGAGGTCGCTTCACAAGCAAGCCAGATATTATATATATACTGATGTGGGCTCTGACTCAATACCTTCAGCGAAGGTCGCGAAGGCTAAAGGGCTCCAAGTCTACCTCACACAGGAATCTAGATTGGGATACTTCGAGAGTTTCTCATGAAATCTCCGGCGCCCACCGAGGAATTCTCCAAAGGTCTCCAGATATTAGCCACTTTTCGTCATATATAGCTACTTTCGTCAGTCCGTTCAAGACATCGCATAAGTTGTCTATCAACTGTATGCCATATGCCGCCTATAAGCCCTCACGCGAAGACAATTGCACAGGCTATTTACAACACAGAACGTCGCCATATTAATTAATCAACGACGTTGCATAGATCTTCACAGAAATCAACCTTTCCGTATAGATTGCTAGAATATGCTAATCCCGGACTACTTTATAATGATTATCTACATGTGACCATTACGCAGATCTGCAGACAATTCAATATCGAATTGAACAGCAGCCTTGTTACAGCGAGTATAACTCATAATCGTCAAAGTTTCTGAGAAGAAATAGGTACAACAAGTTCAGCTTTAATTCTACAATTATGACGATACATTCATGTATACAGTCTACAAGCGAACAACTTGCAAGTTTATTGTACCTTTATATAAGAAGTCGGAATTATATTCAAAACCGAAGTTACTTTCCACGACAGCCAGGAAAATAACCTACCCAGCATTAATATTTCAGAGCGAGGTATTTCGCCGGAGGTTTCGTTTACCTTTAAACCTCGAACTGCGTGGTCACTCGGGTAACCGGGAAGCTACGGTGAAGACCGACGATTATGCTAATATCAACGACGGCAAGATTTTATACAAGGTTTTTCCTGCTACACCGGGTGACATCACAGCTGGGTATTCTACAGAATCAAAATGCCTTGTTCTGATTGGACCCGGCGTTGGACAACGACCTACACGCAGAGGTCGATCTTAATTCACAGGTCAACACTTACGCTACAAGTGACAACTATATATCAGTGAATCCAGCAAGTCTCCTTACAGTCCAGTTAATCTGAACCTTCATGATTGGGCTGCTTTCTTCAGGTTAGAGACCTCCTCTGTCAAGTTAAGACGAGGGCACGGCAGTCAGGCAATTTTACATAAACTTCAACGAGGACAGACACACCTGGTTGTGCACCTACATCGCCAAGGACTTCGTGAGTGAATAACCTAGACGACGGGATACAAGTGGATCTAAATCCACAGCGTCTCAGACTACAGCTGAATTTCATAATCAAGCTACTAACACAACTAGATGGTTAGTAAACCTACTTAAACTTTCTGATTGGAGAATTAAAAGCGGAAGTTTCACCCCTCCAACTTGGGGATCTGAATATAGTGCTCCAACACCTCACAAGTGAGGTTTATGAACGCCTGGATGACATACTTGGACTTCATGATACGATGATTCTATCACGATGACCAGCAAGAGCACTGTAAAATCTATCTCCACCGAACCAAACAGGAGGGAATAATGCAACAGATTATTTCCTCTATCATCAACTTCTACGCAGAATGAAATCTCACGTACTATATCTCCGTTTGGATCAGAACTGTCATACTATCGCGGCATACAAGACGGATGGACCCTAATCCGACCCTCCATGAGCTTTAATACTCATCATATTAGAGCTAACTTCTGCATTGATCTACACAATGTTATTTGAAATAATGGAGGGTTTATTTTCTGAGATCCGATTAATGGTGGGTTTGCCAACCATTATCTGAAAGATATCATCACCGAGGACGTCTCAGGTATCCACCAATTCCGATCCCATGGTCCTCGCTTTAACAGTTGACAGTTCCTCGGAGAAGATAAGTCAATCTTACAGATTTACTACTTATCTTATAACAGTACTAAATAGCTACATGCTATATATAATTTGCTTAAGTTCTTTTTTATCATCACAGAGTACTCTATGATTATTACATCATACAATATATATGAAGTTAACAACTCTACAGAGTTGGTTATTATATATTTACCTTAACTTAATTATATCTTAAGCATAGTACTATACTCAGATTGTAAAAATATATAAGCTAACAAACTCTGCACAGAGTTTGGGCTATTATATATAGGTAGCTTAAGCTTATTCATATCTTAAGCTCAGTAACTATGTTTATATCATATAAGTATATTAGCTAACAAACTCTAAAGAGTTTTTGCTATTTGGCAAGAAGTCTCATCATATCTTAAGCAATATGGTTATATTATAACATGTATTAGCTAACAAACTATAATGGAGTTTTTTTATATGTAACTTAAAGCTTATTCATATCTTAAAGGCTTAATTACTATGTTTATATCATATAGGTATTTTAGCTATCAAAACTCTAAAGAGTTTTTTTTGCTATTATATATTTGGCTTAAGTTTCATCATAATTTAAGCTTTATGGTTACATTATAACTTTGTATTAGCTAACAAACTCTGACGGAGTTTTGCTATTATATATGTAGCTTAAGTTTCCTTCAAATCTTAAGCTCAATACTATATGTTTATATCATATATAAGTCATATTAGCTAACAAACTCTAACACGGGTTTTTGCTATTATATATGTAGCTTAAGGTTTCCTTCATAAACTCAATACTAGGTTTATATCATATAGTATTTTAGCTAACAAACTCTAAAGGGTTTTTGCTATTATACAATTAGCTTAAGTTTCATCATATCTTAAGCAGTATGGTTACATTATAAAATGTATTAGCTAACAAAACTCCACTTGAGTTTTGCTATTATATATATATAGCTTAAGTTTAATTATATCTTAAGCTCAGTACTATGGTTTTAACATAAAAGTATATTAGTTAATAAACTGTAAGGAGTTTTTTTTTGCTATATACATTTAGCTTAAGTCTAATCTTATCTTAAGCTTAGTACTATGATTTACATTATTAATCTATAAGCTAATAAAGCTCTACAGAGTTTTGGCTATTATATGTAGCTTAAGTTAATTATATCTTAAGCACAGTACTATACTCATATTGTAAAAATATATTAGCTAACAAACTCTACAGAGTTTTTGCTATTATATATGTAGCTAAAGCTTATTCATATCTAAAGCTCAGCATTATATCTATATCATATAAGTATATTAACTAACAAACTCTAAAAGAGTTTTGCTATTATATAATTAGCTTAAGTTTAATCATATCTTAAGCTTAGTACTATGTTTATATCTTAAAGTATTTTTAGCTAACAGACTCTAAGGAGTTTATACTAGCATATTAACAAGCTTAAGTCTAGTAGTCTTAAGCATTGTATTAATGTTATATATACTTTATCATAATAAGTACATTGTAATAACCTTTTATATGGCATCTGATAAGTTAGCAGCAGGAATTCATCAGTTCAGTACCTTTATGAAGTTCCCATAGGGTTATTACAATCATCACAGTTCAAATCACTAATTATTAAAATCCAAAGTATTATATATTTCCCACCTCCCTTTCCGTGGGAGTCTACAAGCAAAAGAGCATGAGTCAGGATAAGAAGGAAAAAATGTAATATTTTAGAGTAAAATTGATATTTTATACTTATCCTGACTCATGAGGTAAGCCCTCCCATCCTCCCACATAACACTTTGGATTTCCCTGTAAATTCAAATGTTGGAGCTCAGTATATGAGGAGAGAGTGAGGCACATGGGTGGAGGTGTAGCCCTCGTTCAGCTTGTGGAAGGGAGGTAACTTTCGTGCTGAGTACTAATTAGTGATTTTTTACATTGAAGGGAGCTTCAATTAGGGAGATACAAAGTGTTCCACTATGTTCGCAAGCAAGAAGAAGAAGACAAGCAAAAGAGCATGAGTCAGGATAAGTATAAAATATCAATTTTTACTCTAAAAATTACATTTTTCTTATCCCGACTTTCATCTTTCTTGATTCTGTCTTCTTGCTGAGCAAAATTAACTAGTTATCATATCCTATCCAATTAAGTTCCCTTCAATAAGAATCACTCCTTAGTACTCACCACGGAGTTACCTCCCTTCTGAAGCGCCGGGAGCAGGGAGCCACCAAGCCCATGTGCCTCACTCTCCTTCTTAAGCCCAGTGAGCTGGGCGTGAGGAAGCTCTGTGTCTCCCCAACACACTATATCCTTTAATTATATTTAGTTGGTTCCTCTTATACGTTAGTATAGAGGTAGTACTAGTATAATTATTCAATTTACATTGATTATTAATTGTGTTTCTGCTGTTTTATTCCGCGGTTCGTCAGTGTTTGTTCAGTAGGCTACATTAATGAAAAATTGCACAGAATGTAAACTACGTTATTCTGATACCGATCCACATTTAAAAATGCCCTAGTTGCATTACTCCATGTTCCTTTGATTCTCGTTTGTAAATTTTTGTATCAATTTACCTATCTCTGCCTTTGACAAATATTTATGTTCCGTTTATAGGCCGGAAGGCAGATAAATCCCGTGAAACAGAATTCAAACATGGCTAATAGATCGCAAATTAATGTTTCATGTCAACTGTTGACTGAGGACACGCCACCGGCTGGTGGCATGCCTGAGTTTCCCTTGGCGGATAAGCGTGGGACGCAGTCCGCTATGTCCAAGAAGCGACCTGCATCTCAAGAGCTGCCGTCTTCTCAGTCCAAGTCAAGGAAACCATCCATATCATCTGGTACACCAAGATCTACACCTTCATCTAAAGGGAAGTCAACAAAATCTAATAATTTTGCCTCTGATATCTTACCAGTTACAGAATTAGCATTATATGATGATGATTTGCCAATTATCATTCCAGAAGTTCGTCACAAGAAACAGCCGTTTCTCGCGACTGTCACCTCAGTGCAGATGAACACCTAGCCGGAGATGCCCGACTTTATCTCCAGAAATTTTATCTGAGGGTCCCGTCACCTCTGCAGAGACATCCTTCATCAGCGCCAGACCGCTTCAGGCGACTTGATCAACCACATAATGAGGGTGATGGAAGACTGCTCTACGGCTTACAGAGGCCTCAGAGCCACGGGCCTCAGAGCCCACCCCATATTAAGTCATACAGGGCCTCAGAGCCCGCCTTGGCAGCGTAGGGCCTCTGAGCCCATAGACGCGCTCCCTCGCATGAGCAACCCTGCCGGAGTGAGCTCTTTGCATAAGGTATCCCAGGCCGCCTCCCGTGAAGGAGCCAGAGCCTCACCTTTGCAAGAGGCTTCGGCGGAGAAGGGCGGCTTCGCCCGAGCACGCACCTGTCATGCCACGAAGAGATCAGCGAAGCAAGCTCATATGTCAGGATGGGACACTGACTCCAGACATTCGGCGTAGGGCCGCGAAGGCTAAGTGGTTCTACGCGCCTAGAAGGCGATCGCGTAGCCCTCAACGTTCGAGAAGTCCAGAGCGTCCGTGAAGCCATCACCGTTCACGAAACCCACAATCTCCGCGAAGGATGTCTTCTCCAAGGTCTACATACACTAGCCACTCGTCAGTCCGTTCTCCTCAGTCCTCACATAGATCTTCTTACAGATCGAGGACTCCGACATACGACCATACGTCAGAGGAGGACGATGGTATCATTTTCTCAGAGGCTGAGATAAGGTATTGGATGGTAAACGAATTACAACTGGCCTCTCCCTCTAAGAACGAGGATACAGCCCAAACTTACCTGATGCTAGATGATGATGTAGATCATATCACCGTGCCTCCTATGGATCCTATCGCAGCCGTTCCTGCTAAATTGGATACAGCCTACTCCAAATCTGCTAAAACTCAACTTACCCATTTACCATTCTTCAATGCCAAGAGTTTTTATGGACATAATATGGAGCCCTTTTTCAAGACTCAGGAGATTGATGAAAACTTTAAACTTATCAGTGATTCCAAGTCCAGAAGTTATAGGGTAGACGATCGCAAGATGGCCCAGTTAGATACCATTTCCAGGAGGATGTTCTTTGGACTCAACAGATCTAGGACTGTTAACGAAACTCTCATCACCTAGTTCAAGAACTCCACGGATTAGGAAGACAGGATGATCTATTCAGCTCTACTTATGCAGAGAAAAGATCAACAATTCCTTACAGACCATCTTTCAGCACTTACTGAAACTACTACCATGACATCGTAGGCAAGGATTACTAGCCTCCTGCTCTTGGAATAAACAATTCACAGAGCCCTATACACAGCTCCATAATGGTCTTCACCCTTACTGTTTGGTGGCAACATTAACAAGGTCTCCAAGGAAGTATCAAAAGATTCTGAGAGAAGTACTCATGATCAAATCTATGGATACATTAGCGCCGTCTTTAAACAATCAGCACAGAGGTACTCGGGCAAGTCAAGTTTTCAGGGCTACAGAGAGCGGGGGATAAAGGAAATTAGCGGCCGTTAATAATCCCAAGGATTTCTTTAGGTAAGCCCGTACAACAAGTTCAGAGGAGGATCAGCTAGAGGCAGATCATCCAGGGGTGCCGATGGATTTAAGCGATGAAAGTCAAGTTCGGAGCGACTGGAGTCTTCCACCCCCAGTCGTCCCAGTACAACCTTCTCAAGTGGGTGGGCGTCTACAACTACACTGGGAAAACCGGAGAATACTTCAAGATCCATTATGTATCCAACATCCTTTTAGTCACGGATATAGTCTACAACTCAAGGCCAAGCCACCGTTAACAGTCAACCCACCAGGGTTCAACGTTCATCTGGCACAACTACCGATGTTAAGAGAAACAGTTCAGTCTCTACTAAACAAACAGGCCTTAGAAGTTCTCGATCAGCAAAACATCATACCAGGTTTTTACTCCCCAGTTTTCCTAGTGCCGAAAAAGAATTCCAAAGAGAAGTATCGTCTCAATTACAACATGAGCACATTCAACAGAGAATTTCTATGCAAACCACCAGCGTTTCGCATGATACATTTACCTCAACTCCGTCATCTAATTAAGGTCCACTAGATTACATGGTAAGTATAGATCTGCAGGGCGCATGCCTACACTTCCGATTCATCCCAGTTCAAGGAAATATCTGAGATTTATGCTAGGCGCATACACTACCAATGGAAAGTACTTCCCTTCGGAATCACTTGGCCCCATGGATATTCACAAGAGTAACCAAGCCTATTGTCTCATACCTACATCGTCAAGGCCTGCGGAATGCATTTTACCTGAGCGGCCCGGTATACAGGTGGATCCAGATCCACAGCGTCTCCAGACTACAGCTGAACTTTACAATCAAGCTACCTGCGCAGTTAGGCTGGTTGAAATAAATCTACTCAAGTCGGACCTAGAGCCCGCACGGGATCTGCAGTTTCTAGGTATCACGATTCGCTTACAGCGCAGAATCGTATGGTAGTCCCGGAGGACAGATGGATCAAGATACAACAACTGATCCCCCAAGCCCTACTCTCTCCGTTACCACTACGTCAGTGGCAGAGGCTACTGGGACTACTCACATCAGCTCAAGACTTGACACTCAGAGGCAGGCTTCAATTACGTCCATTACAAGTCCTCATCAATGCCCATCTCGAGGACCCTCTACCGTTCAGTCTACCAGATTACATCAAACCACATCTACTCTGGTGGACCAAGAGATTGAATGTTTAGCTTGGCGTCTCCTTAGTAGAGCGAATCGGAACACATCTCTACGTGGGTAGCGTCACTAAAAAGGTTAGGGAGCCCACCTTACGGCAGGACAGCGTCAGGCCTATGGAGCATTCAAGAGAGCTTATGTCACATAAATCTGCTAGAAATGCAAGCAGTCATAAACGCCATAGGTCACTGGAGCAACCTATTACAGAACGCTCAGTTAATGATTCACACAGACAACTCAACAGTGGCGGTTTATGTGAACAAACAAGGGTCAACAAGATCACTGAATCTTCTCACTGATTGTTTCAAACTGTTGAATTAGTGGACAGTCTAAACATCACGTATCAAAGCCTGCCACATTCCAGGGCAAAGAATGTGTTAGCAGGCGTTCTCTCTCGCCGCACCAACCCGCGCACGACAGAATGGATGCTCCACACAGAGATATTCAATCAGATAATCATGGAAATAGGATCTCCTCTGATAGACCTATTTGCTACCCGATTCAACAATCAACTGACAACAACCCATTATCGCCAGTGCCAGATCCGTTAGCTTGGGCAGCGGCGCACTAAGCATATCATGGGAGGGACTAAGCGCGACGCACGCTTTCCGCCTCCTCGCGTTAATCCACAAGTCTTGCTAAAAATCACTCAAGCGAAGAGCCTCGATCTGATTTTGGTCTGCGCCTTTACTGGCCAGCGAGAACGTGGTTTCCAGACCTCATACTAGGAATCGGAAAACCAGTACTTCAGCTCCCCGCTACGCTCCAATCTACTGATACATCCGCACGCAAACAAGTACACAAAACACCAGAAGCATTCGACTTCCGCGTGTGGATTGTATCAAGGCATGTTTGAATAAGAGAGGTTATTCCACCAGAGCGGCGAAGCGTTGCACTTGCACGTATTAACTCTACTTTCGTAACTTATCACGATGACAAATGGCGCAGTTTTGTCAATTATGCTGCTAAGAAAGGATTTTTCAGCCAGATTTGCTACACATCCTCAAGTGGCAGATTTCTTATGTTTCCTACGTCAAACTAAGAATCTAAAAGGATCTACACTGTCCACTTATCTTGCAGCCATAAGTTCAGTCATAACAATGAGAAGCGGGCGTCAAATTGGCCAAAACACGGAGTTACTCTCCTTGTTACGTGCCTTTTCGATTGGAAGACCAGAAGCGGAAGTTTCAAGCGCCAGCCTGGGATCTAAATGTGGTACTTCAACACCTCACAAGTGAGGCTTACGAGCCATTGTTATCTGCGTCATATGAATCATTGACCCACAAACCTTATTCCTGCTAGCGTTAGCCACTGCGCCAGGATGTCTGAAATTCGCGCTTTGGATTGCGAGAGAACACGATTTGATGATATTCATAACGCCGGCTCATCTGGGACTTAAGCTGGGATTTTATAGCGAAAAATCAACTACCAGGTCAACCAGACAGGTTGTTCCATGTCCCGGCTCTCTCTCATCCATACTTGGACCGCAGGATACGATGGACTTATCACTTTGCCCTGTACGTGCACTGAAAATATATCTCCAAAGATCCAAGCAAAGTAGAGGGAAATTCAAAGATTGTTTATCCCTATATCTACGCCTCACAGACAGAAGTGTCGCAGCACTACCATTTCTATTTGGATCAGAACTGTCATACTAAGAGCCTACAAGGCAGCTGGACTGGACCCTCCAAGTGCTACTAATCCTCACGAAATTAGAGCACTAGCTTCAACTTTGGCTTTACATAGAAATTGTTCATTGAATACCATCATTGAGGGATGTTTTTGGAGATCCGATATGGTGTTTGCCAACCACTATCTGAGAGATATCACCACCAAGGATGTCTCAGGTATCCACCATTTAGGTCCCATGGTCCTGCGGCTCAACAGTTGACAGTTCCACAGAGAAGATAAGTCTATCTTGTTGATTTTATACTTATCTGATAACAGTACTAATAGCTACATGCTATCTATATATATTTGCTTAAGTTAAAATATTATCTTAAGCCCAGTACTATGATTTATATCATAATATATATATACCTACAACTCTTACGAGTTTCTACTATTATATATATGTTCAGCTTAAGTTCTTCCTTAAGCTCAGTCATATGTTAGTTTCATAACATGTATAAGTTAATAAACTATCAGTAGTTGGTCTTGTGGGAGTTGGTGTGTACTGTAGGGTGTTGTATTAGGAGTGTAGGCTTGTAGAACCCCTAGCTTGTGCGAGACCTACTTATTTAAATATGTGTCACAGGAACCTCCCAGTAGGGACCATAGAGGGAGAACTGGTCCTCAGAACCTACACTTGTACATCTAAACAGATTGGGTTGTCTGTGACATGTCATATCCTCATTGCTTGGATTCATGATTCTACCTCCAGTTAATCTTAATGATCCAGTTAAACATTTGATGTTATGAACCAACAGAGCCTCATTTAGTTTCCTGTGTATGACCTTTGTATTGTGACTGAGTCAATGCTGTTTTATACCATAGTGATCACTTTGGATCGTCCTGTAGTGTGTTGGATTAGAAACATAGATCTCTGTTGTAGGTGTTCATGGGTCCTGCAGTGGACATCCTGCTACAACTGTCGACAGACTCACCATTCACATCGAGATTCCTGGAGAGTTGCAGCACAGAACATTGGTTCAGGACAGTAGCAATGGTGCTACGGACACCGGTTTCGGATAACAAGATTGTGGAAAAACTCAGTATCCTTCTTCAAAAACTGTCCAAAATCAAGTAAGTTTGAGTCAGATTGCATATAGTGTGAACAAGTTGCTCAGATGTCTGTCTGACAGTTGAATGATGAGGTCACTAGTGCAGTTTGTCAGCTTTAGCAAATTGTGTACGCATCCGATATATTGATGTTCACCAACCTGTGGGAACTTGCATTAACATATGTCTAAGAGCACTGTGTTACCTTGACAGCGAGGATAATATGGCTCATTCTTTCAGTCACTGGTTTGACTGAAAGGGCTGACATGGTAGTCGAGGGGTGATATGTATGGCGAAAAGGAAACTGTCATGTCATGTAACCTTTTTATCATGTGCCACATCAAGGGACATAACTCTAAAATAAACTAGTCTCCGTCTATTGAGGTTTCGAGAGTATGCGTGTATTCTTTCCATACCAGTTTATTAGCCAGGCAATACGGCTGATATGGATTTTCGGCCCGAGGGCTGATATGCATTTTCGGTCTGGGTGGTCAATATGGACATGTGCCGACAGCCAGTATTGTATGTGCAAAAAGGTCCATATTATTCATAGGTATATGATAAAATTACAAGAAGGTTTCCATGTTACAGCTGGAATATTGCTCATTGTGGCAAAACCACCAAACAAATTAACACTTGTTGCTTTCCACACATGGGCTTCTAAGATTAGAATGCACAGATCTACTAGCAGCTGCCTAGATGAATGACAGATGCAATTACATAGTTACAGCAAGACTGTAATAATGTGTAGAATTTAATAGTGACAAATTGCTATAACATAATGACTGTTTAGTCTCCAGAGGAAGTCTTAAATCCATACAGGCTTGCTTACACTATGAACACAGATGTTTCTTGATGTTTACTTCTTATGGCTTTATTGTATCAATAATGAGTACCAACCAGAATGTATAACGGCTGTGAGACAATTTTTGACAATGATGACAACAATGCCAGTGTGCTTTGAATGCTGTCCGAACAATTTCCAGAAAAAGTCTCTTCATGTTGACATCAAAGTATTAGCATTTCCATAATTGTGTGCTTGAAATTCTTTTGTTCTTCAGATCCAACAAACGATTCTTTGAAGTGTACACAATTGTGAGCATTGTTCAGGAGATGCTGAGAAACTCTGGCGGTGATAACGCCTTCCTGTCTCTGAATCTCAAGTCTATGTTGTTCAATCTCAATGCCACAGTGAAGACAACAGAGAGATAGTTCTAAGGGAATCTGTGTTTTCAGTTGTTATAAATATCCCTTGCTGAAAACATACATGTTCATGTTTCGGGGTAGATTTCAGGGCTGAACAGGCCCTTTCCCATGTTTGCTGTATCAGCTTATATGTGAGGTCTTGAGGTCAGCTGACATTTACCTGCTCTATTTTGGGGGTCCAAGGGTAATTTAAAATGTCACTGTGGCATAAAACAGCATCCACAGACTGTCAGTGGCTCAAGGAAGAATTCATAGTATTGAAGACCGCTGTTCGGGTATGCAATGATGTCCAAATCCTGTAAATAGACTGTATAATGTCTGTGTAATATATTGGACTATTCTCTCTAATACTCATTGTTTATGATGAGTGAGGTATGTACAAAGTAATGATACCGGTCATCCCTTGGTTGATGCATGTCATATACCAGTTGTGTAGATCGATGCTCATGACATCAATCACTGGATTGTCTGGTCCAGATGCAATGAATTACAGACCACTGCTGTATTGCTGGATTAACTGCAGTCTCAAACAGCCAACAAAGCAAAGAATCTTGTCATTTGTTCCAATCTGATTTCCAATAACATAGATTGTTCTTTTATTTATCATAGTCCTTGTTGCAGCACATGGAAATTCTCAATAAGTACACATCTCTATGTCTCAGTATGTGTATAAAGCTATTATTTGATAGTGAAGCAAATGATGTCCAGTAATTCAGACTGCTTCATTCTGTTGATAATAGAATATCGCCTTCTCTGTCCATGACATTGTCATTATTGGTTTGAGAGATGTATTTGTAAATGTCTGTACATTACTGCAATGACTTGATAATCAAAAGTTTATATTGTGTACATTCTGTATACCCATCAGTGTACAAAGTGTTTTTCTGCATGTATTTGTGTAAATTATACTGTTATTTATTACAAAACAAAACATTTATGCAGTGAACAAGGAATTCTAAGAAAATATCATTAAAGAAGTACCAGTAATGATTTGTTTGTATTATGTTACAAGGCTCGTATTGGTGTTTCACATATAAGATATAGCCGAAGTTTAACTGAACACAAGACATCACATCTGCATGACTCAACAACATGTCCCACTTCAGTTTTTAACTGGGTTTAACTGAGCACTACACATTAACTGGACTGGAAGATCCCTTTAGAATTGGTCTTCAGAAACACATGCTTGTGGTAAGAGGCAATTATAGTTGTTGTAAGAGGTGAGTAACAGAATCAGGTGTTAGGCTTGCTTCTTTAATTGAATCATGTTATCATATCCCACCTGTGTAGGTTGGTGCTCAAGTCACTTGAATGCCTGTTTCAGGCCACGATTTCTAGAAAAACAAACTTGAGTAAAGGCTTAGATTTGAGAAAACACAGCAAAATGTATTACCGGAAGTAAGCTAAAATTGATATTAAACTCAAAATTTGTAAATAATTTGAGTTTGTTAGATAGGTTACTGAAGTTGGTTGTATATTTTGTTTTTAGAACTAACTGAATATTGAATGAAGCGCCTGTAAAATATTATTATATCAACCTTTATTCCAAAGGAAAGGCTAACATTTACAACGATTTCAAGGATTCAAGTTAATTGCATCAAGACCTTTGGTGGTATATCTTAAAATATGGCACATGCCTTCCTCACTTGAAGTTCCTTACAACATTTAAGTGACACCTGAAATACAGTACGAAATGTCACTAAACCCTGCTCACAAAATTTATCATCCAAAACTGTGTTCCAAAGGAGATATCGCTTGTGTGAGATCAAACGATATCTCCTAGGAGATATCGTTTTGACAGTAGATTTTGTACAATGCCCTGACAATGCTATGACGTCATGTACTTGATGACGTCACAATGCTATGACATCGCTGCACTGCAAGTCTAATGGCAGTACCATGTTCAGAGATGTACATTTTTCATTGAAAATTAATGAAGAGTGATTTTGGATGATAAATAGAATCTCACCCTCGTGTCTTCTGATATCAAATATATCAACACTCGTTGATAAAGTAAAAATATCCTCGGCAAGCCTCGGATATTTGTAACTTTATCAACTCGTGTTGATATAATTGATATCAGAAGACACTTTGGTGAGATTCTCTATGTACCGGCTGCACTCATCAAGGGACAAGTTTTATGTATCAATACTCCGAGGCCATATACGGCTGTGGTCTCTGCAATACTTGACAAAATTTACTTTTTTGTCCACGAGTGTTTATGTTGTTTTCATGTATAACGGTACAAACAGTATACCAGTTTTATCACAGAAAATCAGTAAAGTGTGGAAGGCAAACCGAAAGCAGTGCATGGGTCGGATATTTACCACCGACCCTGAAGATCCTGGTTAGAATTGAACTTCAGTAACCCAATTTTGTCTCAAGAGCCGACTAACGGGATCGGATGGTCAGGCTCGTTGGCTTGGTTGACACATGTCATGGTATCCCATTAATGTAGATCGATGCTCATGCTGTTGATCACTGGATTGTCTGGTTCAGGCTGGATTATTTACAGACCGCCGCCATGTAGCTGGAATAATGCTGAGTGCAGCGTTAAACAACAAACCAAACCATTTACCACCTTCGAAGAGGTGAGGTGAAATTGGGTTTAACATCGTGCTTGAGAATATTTCGCTCATATGACGACGTGCATGCGTGTGTATGTATGTGCGGCTGCTTGTACTAGCCCAGACTGAAGCTGGTTTTATAGTGCTAGCCCACTGAGATACCATGACGCAGTGAAGCATGAATACCCCACTCAGACACATTATACTGACTCCGAGCTGACCAGTCCTTATTGTACCCATTAATGCCGAGCGCCAGGCAGGGACCAACCAGTACCATATTTTAACGTCTTTTGGTCTGACGCTGTCGGGGATCGAACCCGCGACCTTCCGCTCTTCCGGGCGGACGCTCTAACCACTACACCACGGAGGCGGTCTACTTTCGAAGGGAGGTATATGGAGCTGATCAGTCTCTCAATCCACCACGGTCTGACAATTGGGTGAGAGTGAGTTTAGTTTTTAGCGCTTTTTTAGCAATATCACGGCGGGGACACAAGAAATGGGTCTCACACATTCTACCCATGTGGAGAATCAAACCCGGGCCTTCAGGCTTTAACCACTAGGCTACCCCACCACACCCTGACCATTGGGCACTCCATTATTTGTTACAGATCGTATAAAGACACCTTTCCTTGAATATTCCGATGAACATATATTCTCTACATGACCGTGATTTATTTTTTGGGGAAGGGGTGGGGGTTACAACTGGTTCAGTGACCAGTGTTGATAAGCATAACAGTAAGAGCAGCATTTATAGCATGTCTCACACTGAGAGCCTGGGTTCAACACCTTGATAGGACTCAACCAAGGAAGTACTAACATTTGTAGTCTACCGAGAAAATATAAACCATGTATAACATGCACGTAGACCAGTCAGACGTCCATTTCTCGCACTGACGAAGACACATGCAAGAACGCCTGGCGTGGTGCAGGTTAAAGGCAAAACCACAATCTCCGATACTGGCGCAGAGTCCACTGGCCGGACGAAAGTCGTTACCTTTTGCACGTCACTGACGGCCGCAGCCGTGTCTGGCGCCGCCGCAATGAAGCTTATAACCCGGAAATGATAGAACCAACGGTCCCCTTTGGAGGTGGCTCAGTGATGGTGTGGGGTTGTGTGTCCTACGACTGCAAGCTGGACCTAATCACAGTACCGGGAACGTTAAACGGACAACGTTTTCAACGTGACATCTTGGATGTTGCCGTAATACCCCATTTTGACAATCACACACTTGCCAGTCGTCCCCTGTTCATGGATGATAACGCCAGGCCTCATCGTGCCAGAGCAGTAGTCGATCATTTGAGGAACAATGCTATTGACACTATTCCATGGCCAGCCAAAGCCGGATCTTAATCCCATAGTATATATTAACAGTTTACACTTGTCAGAGAACAGGAGGTACTGATCTGACCTAGACTGCCAGTTGTATGCTGGCGATTAGTTGTTTGAGAGTGCAGGTTTGAATACGGTACACATGGATACTTTACTGAGAAAGTGTAATCAAACATGTTACATTTGTAGACTTTCTAAACGCGATTGTGTGCTTATAAAACTGATCTACAGATTTTAACCCGTGATGATCCGAGTTAAAATTGGTCTTCAGCAACCCATGCTTGTAGTAAGAGGCGACTAACGTTATCAGGTGGTCAGACTGGTTGACACATGTCATCGTATCCCGATTGAGTAGATCGATGTTCATGCTGCTGATCACTGGATTGTATGGTCCAGACTCGATTATGTACAGACCGCAATCATATAGCTGGGATATTGCTGAGTGTGGCGTAAAACTAAACTCACTCACCCACTCGACAGATTTTATGAACGTTTTATACGTTACAACGGTTAAAAGAGTTATCTACCTTTGATCACAGTTTGTACACAATGCCGCCGCTTCGTTTCCTAATAAATGTTAACTTTTCGAGGTCTAGCATCATACAAACAAAATACAAAGAAGAGAAATATATCTCAAGTTACAAATATATTTTGCTGCTGTGGAGAAAATATCAAAGTGCCAAGGAAATGTTTCAGCCATAATACCCTAAAGAAAAATAAAACATGACTATTTTTAACATTCATCTTTACATCCTGTTTCTGTGAGTAGGTGTATTGTTCGATATGAGTAGTGAGAGCGAGTTGTATCTGTCTGAGAGCAGTGTCAATGGGGACACATTCCTGTCACTATTGTAGTTAAAATATTCTACAGACAGTGGCACACTATCAGGCGCTGTAAGACAATACGTAGGCTGTTGAATATCTAGAACCTAAGGACGGAAGGGCATGAGTAGAGCACATTTTAAAGACGTGTTAGACACAACGGGATGGTGTCAATTCCCAACTAATGTCTAGCCGTTGTTAAAATACCGCGTGTGATGAAACGTATTGTCTGTGCACATAGGTATTACTGAACTAGATCGCTTGGGTGTAAGAATGCCGTACACCGCCGCAATCTCCGGATATATGATACTGGCCTGTAAATTAAAGAGTCTGGACTAGACAAACCAGTGCTGTAAGCAAGGGAAGACTTCAAGTGATCCACATGTTGGGTGAGTGAGTGAGTTTAGTTTTACCCCACACTCAGCAATATTCCAGCTATATGGCGGTGGTAGTAAATAATGGAGTCTGGACCAGACAATCCAGTGATCAAAAGCACGAGCATCGATCTACGCAATTGGGATCCGATGACATGTGTCATCCAAATCAGCGAGACTGACCACCCGATGCCGTTAGTCGCCTCTTACGACAAGCATGGGTTGTTGAAGACCAATTCTAACCCGGATGTTCACGGGTTCCTACCTCACTGCATAGTATTACAGATTACTATTCTCTAGACTATCCATTATATTTAATGTCGATGAAAGCAATGCAAACCTTAGATGTTTACCAGTTTAATGAGAGTGTTTTGAATTTAAAACCCAAAACAAACAACAACAACAACAACAACAACACACACACACACCAAAAAGAAAAAAAAAGAAAAAAGAAAAAAACCCAAAAAACCCAGCAAACATAAAAACAAATAAAAAACAACAACAAACCGAAACAAAACCAAATCAACAAAACACAACAAACAACTGAAACATCGCGATATCAAAAGAAACCTCGCAGTTTAGAGCGGCTCCCTCAGATGAGCCAGTGCTCGTTGGTTTCCCCCAAGTGATTAACGCTTAAGACCTACATCACGTCACCCGCACACGATGCTGCTATATTACGTTGACAGGCCATGAAACCGGAAACACTGATCAACACGGCGTCAAACCACACTCACTCACTCATACATCAATAGCCCGTGTAGATCCACGTTAGAACTGGTCTTTAGCAAACCATGGTTCTCGTCAGAGGAGACTAAAGCAGACAGGCGGTCAGGCTCGCTGATTTGTTGATACACATCTTCGTGTCCCAGTTCTGTCGATGGATCCGCATGA